GGGCGGGAAGTGAAGGCTGCCAGCTCTGCGCTTCACCCGCTCCAGCCCCCCCGGCATGCAGCCTCTGCCCCCAGCGCCGCGCGGATCCCTGCTGCCTCCCATGGCCCTGCCCTGGGAAGGAAGCAGGGGTGGAACAATGCAGAGCGGGGGGGTGAGAGCAGGAGGCTGGGCCCCTCCTCCCCCCCAGAGTCACACCCCGGGCCAGAGCAGCTGTTAGAAAGGCAGCCAAGCAGGATTCAAAAAACAGCACCCGTGGAGACTCCCCGCGCCCCAGGGAAGCTGTTCCAGGGGCTAATGGCTCGCTCCATGCACGTCATCTCCAGCCGGGCTGATCTGGCTTCAGCGTCCCATCTCTGCCGGCCGGCCCGCTGGGAGCGGTTCCCCTTGGCGGGTCCGAGTGCCTGCGCCCCAGACTTCAGCTTCGCCAAGGGAATGAATGGTTCAGGCTGGCGCAGGTTCACATTCCTGGGGCTCCTCTCTGGCCCCTCGCCAACGGGCCGACACCCGCCTGGAACTAGGGGAACCAGCACCGGCCTGGGATTCCAGCAGCGGTCGCCCCAGCACCTGATACCGGGGTAAAAAACCCCCAGCTGCTGCCGGAGTCCCTGTTCGTACAGCCCAGGGTCGTGTTAGCTCTTCCGGGCACTGCCTGCCGGGGCGCTCGTGCCCAGAGCCGCCACACCCCAAATCTTGGGCAGTTCAGCCCCCTCCTGTACCAACGGCCAACACTGCTGCCAGACTCCCACACCGCTGTATCCAAGTGCACGCTGCCTGCTGGCCCTGAATCCACCGCGTGAGCCAGACCACCCCGCGTCCACTCTCCCTCATCCCCACGGAGCTGCCTTCCTCGCCAGGAGGGACGGACCCATTCTCTGCTCCCGCTCACAAAGCCTCCCGGGCCTGTGGGAATCAGCTAGCGCAGCCAGGCCCGGCCCGGCCCTCGCTTGGGGAAGGAGGGAGCAACATTAGCACCCCGACATTGGGAGGGGCACCCCGGCTGGCAGCAGCCACGTGCGGTTCCACCCTGCGCTGCCTGCCTGGAAGGGCCGGGGGAAAGGCGCAGAGTCTGCAGGGAGGGGCCAGGGCATTTATTGAGGCAGGGGCCCTGCTTCCAGACAAACGCAGCCCACTCGGTGCGGGCAGGAGCATGGCAGTGTCCTCTGCCCGCACCTAGCACCAGCCGCTCTCCCCCCCCGCAGCT